CGGGGTAAGGGGTAGGTCATTTGTATGAATTCATACAAATTGGCCAATTCGTAAAATATGTACGATTTAGCAAAATCGACTTGGTATAAAAAATCTGCTCAAACTGAACCCTTCCACGCTTCAAAAGGTAACAAAATATGCCCCTTTTTTTAGTCTTCTGTAATTGTTACTCTAATATTCAGGATATTTTATATTATCGAGACAGGTAGAGATCGATCTGTGTTAGATATAGAGAATAAGTAATAAAGGTGAAACATTCATGCATGTAAGGTTTAAGGAGACATTGCATTTGAATGCTCTCTATAAACTTTTAACATTTAAACGAAAAAAAAAGAAAAAAAAAACTTCCAAAAAGTTTCAGGGAAAAAACAATGTATAAATAAAGTTTTTGTTGTAATGTTTTAAGAACATTATAAAAGACCAACTTTGCACAACTATTCTATTATTTTTACTGGAAGAATGTATGTTCATAACTTAAGAGAACCTTGCCAGAACGTTAGCAAACCTTCTGAGAATGTTTCCTATTCTGGGAACTTGAGTACTTCTTCAATATTTACACTTTAGAAGAGAATTTAAGTCAACAAAGTACTTTTGACATAATAAAGTGACCAAAAGTACCCAGAGTTCTTGTTGGGGCACTTGAGTGTCGGTCACTAATCAGAAGACACTATGTTTCTTGCCCCCTTTTTGGCATCTAATCGGTCTCTGTCTGAGTGGCTTGGCTAGAATCAGTAGTCCTGGGGGTTAAGAATGAGGAGGGGTGATGGAAAGAGAGAGGGATGGAAAAAAGAGGATATGGAGACACCCCACTGGTTTTGGCTCAGGAGGAACCATTCACACAGAAGACCTTCTTGGGGTATTCCCACAGTATACTCTCTTACTGTGCAGACACGCACACGAACACACACACATACACACTCCAGTCAAATTAGATTAGGGCCCTCTTCATTCTCCCTACTGAAATACTGGCCTTTTCATTGCCATCGACCCCTGACTTGCCACTCAGATTATCTAGATCTTCCTAACATAAACACATATACACAAAGATTATATTATATTAACATACTGACATACAACTTTTCTGAGGCCCATACAAAATTCACTGTCACTATTGTATTCTGGGTATAGTTGACAGGGTCAGCCCGTTCTCATCCTTTAATGTCATATAGAACGCTATATGCAAAAACGGCGCTATACTACGCACATGGCACCCTTTATCGTTAATATAACACGTGAACCCAAGACGTTATAAATCCTTTAGCGTGAATATGACACGCAGACCCTACCCCACACGTAAACTTAGCCCTCACAGCGCGTGTTATATTAACGATAACGGGTGCCATGTGCGTAGTATAGCGCCGTTTTTGCATATAGCGTTCTATATGACGTTAAAGGATGAGAATGCGTTGGGTGTTGCTAAAATGTTCTGTGTGTGTGTGTTTTAAAATAAATCCCTGCTAAGGGTTTATGAGTTTAGCTAAAGGTTGAAATTTACCACAATTCATTACTGAACCGATTTTAAAACACTAGGCATACACTTGATGACTGTGTAAATGGTTACAGAGAAAAACTGGGCATCATCCACTAAACGACTGAGGATCACACGCCAACAGACTTTCAAGTCATTCCAAACACAACTGGCTCGTTGCTAGGAGACACATGATGAATGAAAAGTATTAAACATGTTTGATATCCTCTGACTAGAATCTGTGGCCATTTGACTCCCAAAATCTGCAGGCTCTGACTTCCACCAACTAGCATTGAAAATATAGGCAAAAGTAGTGAATTGTAGCCTTAAGTGGTTGTTTGGTGGTTCCTATGGTGTTATAGGTTTGAAAAATAACATCTCGGAGCCTGTATAATATTCCAGGGCATTGTAAATGGGCAATAAGTTACATAAACCAGTCTGTGGCAGGCTTCATATAGGGAATGAATATACAGTATAAGAACCTTAGTTCAAGTGGCTATAACCTGACATGATGTGTCGAGCCCTATGGCTAGAGGAATGTGTTTCACACTTACTGTATACCGAAAGAACCCTGAACGGAGTCGAGAGCACCTTAGCAACGTAACCGCGCCTTGGCTTAAGGACGACCCTGGAGTCGTTTGGCCCAAATTCAAACTGATGGCGTTTGCAAATTGCCCACTCGTTTGACTGAGGGGTAATTCCCCTGGGGAACATTGTCTCTGGAACATTCACCCTGATTCAAAATGCCTGGCACACGCGCCACCCTCATCGAGCGCAGGTTGTGCAGAGCCCATAGGAAGATACTCTTGGTCATGGCGTACAGGTTGCTTGACCTGAAGCCCCGTTCACACTACAAGCAACTTTGTCGCTGCAGGTTGCCAGTGGCTGCGCTGGAGGGCATACCCACCACTGGTTGCCTAGTAATGTTTGTGAGTGATATTCACAGATGTTACTCTATGTTAGACAACAAATACGTCTTCTTGCCGCTACAAACAAACTGGAAGGAAAAGTCTAATAGTCAGTATAATGCTCTGGGAAACCCTCGACAGCCAAGCCAAACAGACCAATAGACTTCTGGAAAGAAGGGGGCAGGTCTCTGCTGAAGGGCCTGTTGGGCGAGGACCACTCGAATCAGAGGGCTTTGATGGCCCTGGTCAGCACATGGAGAAGCTCGGCATCGATGCTCGCTCTCGCACTGGTTTGAGTTGACGGTGCGGGGCCGAAAACTGAGCCGCCCACTCGTTGCAGTTGGATGCAGTCGGAACGGCTGTCATCCTTCTCTTCATCCTCGTCCGAAGACCTGCCACTCGCTGAGAGGGGCGTCGGTCCACCTGAGTGAACAGGATCTGCGAGGGGGATTCCCCAGGAGAGAGCGAGGCACACGGTGCTCACTTGTCTCCGTCCGCTCTGGCATCCTTTATGAATGACGCTTCTTTTTTGCACGGCTTTTGCAAAGGGAGAGAGAGAGCGGGAAGCCAACGTCCTCAGAAGGCTTCTATCCAGAGATCAGCGAAATAGTGAGTTCGTTGAAGGAGATAACATCTGGAGTTCCTAGGTGAGGCTTGGTCCCTTTATAGTCGTAGACCATGCCCATTCTGGCGGGCTCTGATGTGTCAAGTTTTAAAAAATTTGCTTCAATATTCTCGACAAAAGGAGCTTTCCCATAGCGTAGGCTAGCCTTATGCAGTTCGAGAGACATCTCGAAAGGGAACTTAAATTCACAGCAGTTTTTAGTCTCTGAGGACACATCTGGGCAACTGTATCAATTTGAACCAGAGTCTGACCCAGAACAAGTTGACAGCCCTGAAGAAATTTGACAATTAAAGCTTGAACAGGACGTTCCTGAAGGGTTGGTTAACTTAATGTCACTTTGATCTATCTTTGAGCATGTACTCACAGGGTAGAGTAGTGAGATATGAACGCTATGTGTTTAATGATGTATACGTTAATGGTCATGAAAAACTTTTTTTCACGATTTACAAAAGATTAATATAAAGGTCAATAAAACTTTACACTCACTTCTTCTGGAGGTGCAGCAAGAACACGAATAGTTGGTACACTGTAAAAAATATTTTCAAGATTTGTTATCAAAACATATTTTCTTTTGTCAAATCAACTTTATAATAATTTATTTAGTTGAGATAACTTATTATTTTGAGTTTCTGATGATTAAATTAATCTCCTTCTTTGTATTAACTCACTTTTTCCAGTTCAATCAACTTAAAATTTTAAGGCAACCCAGGTTACTTACTTTTTTTAAGTTAAACCAACAATATTTTTTTGCAGTGTAGTAATCACAACATTTTTTTTGTCAAATCAACTTAAATAATTTATGTAGTTCAGATAACATATACTTTTGAGTTTCTAAAGATTAAATCATTCTCCTTCATTGGATTAACTCACTTTTTCCAGTTCAATGAACTCAAAATTTTAAGGCAACCAGGTTACTTACTTTTTTAAGTTAAACCTTCAATATTTTTTTACAGTGTACCGATTCTCATAGCGGACTATGATGACAGCTCGCTCAAGGCGGGTCTGTGTTGAAACAGCCCATTCTCACCCCCAAGGCGTCACTTAACTGACGCCTTGGGAAGCATTTGGACATGCTTCAATATCTGACGCTTTAGGCGCCCTTTAGCGTCAGTTAGATGACGCCCTAGGATCGCGTGTACCCTACCCCCACCCCACACCTAAACCTAACCGCGTCCTCTAACTGACGCTTTCCTTTAGCGTCAGTTAGAGGACGCCGTAGGATCGCGTCATGTAAGTGACGCTAAAGGGCGCCTAAAACGTCAAATATTGAAGCATGGTCAAAGGTGACGCCTTGGGGTGAGAATGCGTTGGTTGAAACACTGCTATCAATTAACAATCGTGGGAGGGGCATCACACGGTTAGATGGCTCGATTTAAGACAGGAGTAAACATATAAGGAGATTAAAAAAAACACTGGATGGATTTTTATAATTATATGATGGTTGCTTACAGGCACTGCCAACACACATTTCAGTACAATTAACTTGTAAAAGTGCATGTACCATTATACGACCCCTTTAAGGAAAATATTGATATAATGTAAATATATTATCTATATAATATTTTGACAGCCCGAGTATTTTAAGAAAAGGTAACAATATGCAAATGTAAAAGTGCTGAAAGCAGCTCCAGACAGCTCAAAACCTATTTGTCTGAAATAGGATATTCAAATCTAATTTAAAGGGTTAAAGTTAAAATTCTGTAATTTACCTCATGTTGTTCCAAACCACTATGATGTTCTGTTCTCTGCGGAACACAAAAGATGATATTTTGAAGAACGTTGGTAACCAAACAGTTTTGGTGACCATTGAAAATCTTAAAAAAAGATCTAAAATAGCAGAAAGTTTTATGTGATGGGTACTGTTGATTTATGGGTAGGGTTATTGTACGATAGGGGCACAGAATATACAGTTTGTACAATGAAGAAACCTTTCTGTCTATAGAATGTCCCCATAAAACATGGGAACGCAATGTGTGTGTGTGTGTGTGTGTGTGTTTAAGGGAAGGGGTGTCAGTGAGAATCCGTCCAGCTGTTCATTGTGTCAACCTGTTGCTTCCCTTGAGAAAGTAAGTAAGGCCTCTCTCTCTCTCTCTCTCTCTCTCTCTCTGTGTGTGTGTGTGTGTGTATGAGAGAATCTGAGAGCAATCTCTTTATTACTGCCATCACCACACTTTGTCTCTTCTTCACCCTATTCAGCCATGAAACATCACTAATGCATTTACAACTGGGTGTTTGCAGTGGGCCTCAACAAAGATTAATGTACATGCTCTTGAGAGAGAGCGAGAGGGTCTATGCGTGTTTTGACTAACAAAAGACGAAGGCTGATCCTAAACATCATGTCACAGCCTTTAGAATAAAGCACCCAGAGAATTCAGCGCCTGTAAGGGAGCGATTCCAAAACTATCAGTACGTTTAATTGCTCAGGTCAGTATATTTGGAATGCAGGGAGCTGTGAAAGGACCAGTGAATTATGACTATCTCAACAAAGTCTGTGACTGTTTCATCCCGTAGACCTGTGAACCAACTGACTGCCTTTAAAGTCTGATGAAAGAGAGAGAGCGAGAGAGTTAAAAGATAGATTAAAAAGAAGTCCTTTCCCCTAAGCTTCCAGCGCTAAGTAGCTTTCATTTATTCTCTTATGTGCTAAGTAAGACGTTCTGTACTATTACAAAAGGCATTCTGGGAAACTTTCAGCGGAGGACTGAAACTTCACTGGGGTTTGTAGCACTTACGCATAAACAAAATTAATCACTGGCTTCAAGGAGAGTGTTAGCTTGGTTAAAATATCTAATAGGACTCTTCAGTCGACTTAATTTGATGATTTAGAGCCGTCTCGATCCATCTGAGGAAATTACAAATAGAAAGGGCACTTTTAGAGGGTTTATTTTTGGGCCTGAGTATGAGAGACAGAGGGAGGAAATAGAGAGATGATGAAAGAGAGAGAGAGAGAGAGAGCTTTCGAAAAGGAAAATCCTCCAGAAAACTTTCCTCTCCATTCATTATAGTGCATGGAAGCCATTTCATGCGGCAGCAAATTGAGATCAAAGTCAAATTAAAGCTGACTCGTTCAAAGGCAGATAAAACTAAGCGAGCCTGCAGCAAAATTTTCATCATTGATTTCTTCCTCCTTCACTTTCTCCTTCGTTCTTGCTTTCTCCTTCTCCCGTGATCCTTGGGACTTCTTTCTAAGAGGAAGAGGCTTTTAAAAAGTCCTGCAGCTGAGTGCTGGCATGACTGAAAAAAAAAAACAGAACCAAACCCCAACAATTCAACCAAGACAAAGTACTACAATAATACAACTCATAAAAATTAACGGCACAATAAACTTGAGAGAGCAAACTATTATGGACTTATATGTATTGTGTTTGACTTACAAGCTCTGTTCTAAAGCCTTGTCCTGCCCAGTAGGCAGCATTTTATGGCATTATCGGTGCTACCAAAGTGAAGTTCCAAAGTAAGCTTAGCCAAATGTAAAAGCTGCATCATATCCTCCAAATAATAGAAGGAAATCTCATTGTGCATTGCAACAAGTTCTGAAGTTTCAAGATGGCGAAAAATGTGAATCCAGCTTGACTTTTAAACATTTTCAATAATTAAAACATACTATTTTATACCAAATTTATGTTTATCCTCTTAGCTGTCACCCCCCTTTTTGAGAATGGGGGTTAAAATGCACTATTCAAACTTAAATGGTTGTAATTAAGAATGCTTTGGAATATATAACCAAGTTTGGTCTTGTTTTAAAGAAAACACTCAGCAGAATATTGCTGAAGTGAAAGCACATCAAAAAATGAAAGTATGAAAAAGTTATGGAAGTTTAAATTTACAGTAAATTAAATATACTGTACTATATATTTTTTATTTTATATAAAATATATATTTTATAAAATATTTTTTACTCTAAAATTTCTATAAAATCAAAGCCATACATCTTATCAAGTTATGTTCCAAATTTGAAGTTGATATCACAAAAATTGAAGTTCCCATGAGATTTTGTTTAGGAGTAGTACCAAAAATAGCCACCGGGTGCCATTGGATTCCATTGAATTTAGTTGTATACATTCTGCCTTAACAAATTAATACATTTCTGTCCAAATATCAATTCTGTCACAAAATTTGTAACCTTGAGACTCTGACCTTTCTGACAATATCAGTTTTGTCAAGATTAGAAAAAGTTTTGATCATAAATTATGAAATATAATGATGCCCAAAAGGGGAGGAGCCTGATAAAATAAGTACCGTTTCTATGGTAACGCAACTTTCAATTATAAAACAGTTTTCACACGATGAATTCTGAGTTTATAAGCTTTCAAATGATTCCTAATTTATGATACTAACTACTAAAATATGTGATATAATAAAAAAGCGATAAAAAATAATATTATATTTTAGAGGATAATAAATATAAATATTATCATTTTTAGAGGATAATATTGTACTATATTTTTTTATTTTTTATTGAAAAATACTAGATTGTGTGTTTATTATGAACTTTTAGCATAAAAGCAGAAGTTTCAATGATTAAAAATGGGTTCATCAACTTTTTGTGACAAAGGTCAAAACTCCTGTTATGATGCAGATTTTTTGAGGTGCACTCTTGTCATAAATTCATCAATTACTCTTGCTACATAATTTTTAACACAAAACAGGGGTAGAATATCTATTTAGAAGTCTTAGACCTTTCCAACAATATATAATTTGTCATAATTAGATTAAGATTTAATAGAAATATAGTGAAGTAAAGTTAGGCGCCCTAGAGCTGCAGAACTCACATGGTGGCATGAAACTGTGTACATGCAGCTTCATTCATTAGGAGTACTCTTATTGTCGTGTTGCTTGCTTTCAGTGTTTAAATTTCAGTTTTTTTTCCCCTATTTTCTAATTTTCACCAAAAACAGACTTATATATATATATATATATATATATATATATTTTTTTTTTTTTTTTTTTTTACAAGATTTTTTATTGTTTAGCAACATTCCCTGCCCCCTGTTGATTGACACCTCAACTCTGATCATTGATCAGTATTTATTTAACAGTCTCTACAAAGGGAATTTGATGGGAAAAAAAGGTCTGGGCTTTGTAGCGGCTGCATTTAGGGGCTTTCGCTCTGGGTTAGTTATAAGAACTAGCCAGGGTGGTCCCCTGAGAACTAAATTTCCATTTTGAAAGCCCCTATTGCCCACTGACATGTAAAGTGACAAATTACAGTTCGTTTTATTCAACATGACGCACTTTGTGATGCGACGACGCACTTTGTGGGCGGAGCCTACCTAGTTGCAGAAATTGACGGTTCTGCAGTAGCAGTGCTACAAATATTTACAGTATATCACAGATTATCTGGATGCCTTCTTCCATTATTTTACATAGTTTAGTACAGCCCAGCCTGCAGCAAAAGCACAAAAAGACTAATTATAAACCAGTCAAAAGCCAATTTCTTTTGGTGTACTATGGAGTGGGTAAAACTGTTTTTAATGGTATGCTAAAAGATACTGTTGACTCGCGCTAGCCTAGCACCGGCGAACTATGCAACTGGAACGACTGGATGAATTTTTTTTAAACTGTCTCCACCGATAAATAACACTAAGGGTCACATGGAAATGAGGCCCGATGTCCAAAATTCCAATCCACCCCTTCAATTTCCTCTGCCTGGTCAGGGCGCTGAGGGCTTACATTACGTGCTCAGGCACTCGGAGCAGCTTTTCGTTTCGTTAGCGGACCAAAGGTCTCGCCGCCTCGAAATAAAGCCTGTCCAGAGAGATAGTGGACGCTATCGCAGCTGCTTATGCGTCAAAAGGTCTGCAATGGCCTTTTGGTGTCAGGGCTCATTCCACTAGAGGCATGGCCTCGTCGTGGGCATGGTCCAGCGGAATTTCAATTTATGACATATGTGTGGCGCCAGGCTGGGCCTCCTCGTCCACCTTTGTTAGGTTCTATAACCTGGAAGTTCCCGCTCTGCAGGCTAAACTTCTGTCTGTATAAGAGAGATGCAGCCCATTCTCACTCCCTTCAATATCTGACGCTTTAGGCGCCCTTTTGCGTCAGTTAGATGACGCCCTAGAATCGCGTGTACCCTACCCCCACCCCACACCTAAACCTAACCGCGTCCTCTAACAGACGCTTTCCTTTAGCGTCAGTTAGATGACGCCGTAGGATCGCGTCATGTAAGTGACGCTAAAGGGCGCCTAAAACGTCAAATATTGAAGCATGGTCAAAGGTGACGCCTTGGGGTGAGAATGCGTTGGAGAGATGTATGTTCTGTCCAGATCTAATCGTGCGCAGGCTACTCTCACGTGACTTACAGTAGCTCTCCTGGTTGAGCTGCACTATATTGAGTTTATGCTATATGCTAAGGACCAGCGACGCCGCTCTGTTTTCCCTATTAGTTCTTATATACTTGTGCCGGCCCGCTTAGCTGGCCGCTTTATTCCCCGCTTATCTTTAATCCCTGGAATTCATGAACTGGATGCTTGACTGGAAGCTAACTTATGCAATACGAGAGAACATATCGGTTACCTAACGTAACCTCGGTTCACTCTTGAAGATGGAATGAGTATTGCGTAACCTGCCGTGCTCGCGCCATGAGTGACTTTCGCTACAATCGATGAAATCCAGGGAGACAGCCTTATATATGCTAAGCCCGCTTATATATGCTAAGCCACGCCCATTCTGGCAGGCTAAGACACGATGAGATCACGTCGGGCTCAGTGGTAGGCTGCTGCAGTTCCCATAGGACAGCCTATGAGCATGCTAGATAGCCTGCTCTTGGTCTGCTAGCTGCTGCACTGCGTTGACAATGAATACAAAAATTTATAATTTTTTCCAATTAAAAATTGGATAATTTTTTGGCTTCAATATCTCAAAAAGATTAATCTTTCCCGTAGCGTAAGCTAAATTACGCAATACTCGTTGCCTCTTCTAGAGAGAACCGAGGTTACATTAGGTAACTAATACCTTCCCTGTTATGTTTATTAGTCTCTCCAGGTGTTTCTAATTAGCCCCGCCCCCTTGTTATCTTGTTGAGCTTTGCATGTGTATGTAAACCTTTTTGCTTCAGTTTGTTGGT